GCCACTAACATCAATGGTATACTTGCCATGAAGTTTGGCTAATCAAGACCATTACCCTGAGGTTTCTCCCTAATTGCAGATGTGTGGGTATGCTTGATGTCTGTAATTTTTTCTATTTCCCACTGCTCTCTAAAGTCTTCTGTCCCCTGTGGGGAACTTATTGCATCCCTGTATAATAGAGACTAGAATCACAGTCACTAGTGCAAGAAAATATCTTTGAGATCATATTTCATGTGCCTACAGGGGTTTGATATAATCTTCCGATAAGAATGTACCAGACATTAAGCAAATACTACAGCTGGTCTTGTCTCTTCCTAATTTAGTGCAATTTGGGCATGCAAACCAGAAGGGAAGAGAACTTTTTTTCTGAGTGCAGCAATGCATACTTATTTGGAACAATTCAATTCTATTCAAAACCAGCATTCCATGTCTGTCTCAACCTAAAATTCAGCCGGATGTTATAATAGCTTATTGTTTGATGCAAGCACAGACCACCTGCAAAATCAAAGGAGATTTTTGTAATTTCTCCACTGAGAGATAAATGGGAGAAAGTTGTAGTTTATAGTTATATACAGATTATGGCATATAATATAAAGATATAACTCTATGTTTACTATAAATAGTATAAAGATGTATCAAACATTATAAATATTAATATCCAAATGAAACTCATAAAATTATTTGCACTTTTAATTGTGGGAAAAGCAATCTCCAAATTTACAGTTTTCTTTATCCTTCTTTACTTCTTTTAACAAAATGAAAAAAATTGCTGCCTGCTTTTCACTAATAATTTTTGAGAAAGAAAGGTGGGGCAAAACCCAGGGCAACTTTGAAATACATGTCACAATAAAGAAAAATTAGAAAGTAGTAAGATTCTGAATTGCAGAAGTGTTAGGGAAGCTGATACTGTTTTTCGTTCATGATCTCAAGTGCTTGTAGCCCATTTTTGGCAGACTTGGGGTTTGCCCAGAGATGTTCAAGGTATAAATTATGATCTATGTTGATAAAAGGAAGCATCAAGCAATTCACTGCACCGTAATGTCAGGCTTTAGATAGAGGAAGCACTGTGAAAAATCTCGGTTTCCAAAAAAAACAGTCTTCCAGGTACAGTGATAACTTCTTTGAGGTGTTATCTTCATATGGCATTCAGTGGGGTGGCTTCAGAGTAAATGTGTCAATCAGGGGCATTGCCATGAGTAACAGTACAGGAAACACAACACTCAGGCCTGTGAAACACTAATATCCACTGCTGCTATTTCCTCTTAAGCATCAAAGATGACAGTTTATGTGCGTCTGGTTTCCTGTAGGATCAAAGAGGAATTTTATTTATTTACTTGATCAGAGGCAAAGCAGGCTGTTCTCTGTGAAAGATTTCTCTTTTCTGTGTCGCTCGCAGCCATTTATTGAAATGTCATGACTGAGTGGAAATCAGATGTAACTGATTCTGGTCACTATGTTACTTTCATAAAATAATAATTAAAATAATCAGTGAGGGCCAGAAGCCAAGTAAGATGAGCACCTGCATTTCCTCTGGGCTTGAGAATGGTGGGGATTTTTTTAAAAATTGTCCTATAAAAAGGAAGAAAAAAGGGATTGTGCCCTAAAAATCACTGCTATGAGGTTAGCAGAAATTTCAGGTTTCGGTGAAAACAGATCTGAGTAGCAAATCTTCTGTTTCAGTCACAGTTTGTGAACTGCCAGGTACTGCAGGCTCTGGTGAAGTTGGTCACACAGTTCCTGAAAACACTGAACGGCTGCAGGATTGGGTCCTGGGTCACTATTTCATTCTAGAGGGGATTTGGTAATGTCGTCAGTACAGTAAGCTGAATTTTTATGCCATCTTATTTTATTTGACACTAAACCAAAACAGATGTTTGCAATTAACACACATAAAAGGAACAATAATAAAACTGCAGCCCGCCCTTCAAGCACTACACATACTCAGTGCAAAGAGTTTACCAAGTTCTGGTGATTTTCCCTCCCTCTGCTCTAACTAAAACATCCATATTGATCTCACTGAAGACCAAACAAACAAACAAAAAATGTTTATCATTCCCTGAATGTTTCTGATGGGCAGCAGTGACTGGTTAATGGAAGATTAACACTGCTCCAGATGCATGCGCGGACAGGACTCTCGCTGCTGAGGAGCTGACCTAAGCATGAAGCTAAAGGGAGGCGATGGCTGTTGCTGCCCTGGGACAGGATGATGTAGAGAGCTTGTTTCTTACCACGACTGGGATCCAGGGCAGCTGGTCCACCCTCCCATTGGGAACAGTGAACAAGGAGCTTGTAAAATACACAGACCAAATGGAAATGACCCCTATTGACTGAAACCAGCTGCATGTCAGACCTCTCACTGTCTCTCTTGATTTGCTATCTCAAATAAATGGATGTGGTAGATGGGGCTATGAAAAGAAAACAAAATAATTTATTCTCCTTGAAGTTGTGCCACACTAATAAGTCTCAGTTTTTACAGCTGAAAAAAACCCGTTTATTTGCAGATTAGGTTTTCCCTCCTTTTTTTTTTTTTCCCTTTGAAAGTCTGCAGTTTAGAATAAGCCATATTTGGTTTCAGAGGTCTTTGACAAATATAGAGTTGGTAGATTTTGTTAGATATTCATCACATAAAACTGCTGGCTAATGAGAGCTTGTTTATTTTGCATTTAGATTCAGAAAACAAAGTTACAACAGCTTTTGTTGGTGCTTTGGCTTAGATGTGCATGGTGGCTCAGCTCCATGAAAAAGATTTTAGTGCGTTTTGAAGAAGCATGACATGGAGAAAGACTTGGCTTATTAATGTGTTTTTTCCCATATTTTTCCTAATACACTTCTGGGTAACACCAGTTATTCTGAGCATTGTGAAGAGCTGCTTGCAGTAACCAGGGTAGCACTTGAATCTGGAAATGTCAAGGACAACAGCTGCTCAAATCCTCCCTTTGATACCCAGGATGTGTTACTGATATGGATATTAGATTGACCTCTGTTCTGACTTTGGAGGTAGGATAGGAGGTACTTAACCTCACTGCCACAGTCACCTTGATCTCTGTTTGAGAAGATTGTCAGGCTGTGACACATGCCATAGTGTAGTTATGGTCTGATAGACTTTCTTAAGGAAACTTCTTAAAAGTCATCAGTCTATATTTCCTTCATGCAAACTGAGGCACTGATGTGTTTTGCAAATATATCTTTTTTAAAGTCTTATTCAATTGATCATCAGTGAAATAAGTCACCAAATTTGGATTAATGGATCTATTAGAATGTCTCAATGAAATTACCTTCATGACATCTACAAAAACATGTGGGATACAAAAATTTGAGGATGACACTTTAATTTCATCATGTTACTTCTTTTTGCCTTCCACAACCTTCTTTTTTTTTTTCTTTATTTCTCTTTTTTTCTTTCTCCTTAAGAATTTGTTTCTTCTTCACTCACTCAGAGTTGTACAAACACAGTAGGGTTATAGCTTTGAACACAGAAGCCTTTACCTGTGTCCTTGTAGTGTTGCAACAGACGGGTGTTATTTCAATATAAAGCAGATTGAAATTCCCATCTACAGGTTCTGAGTGTCCCAGTAGTCACTCTTTTTGCTTTGAAGACAGAACCAAAATACAGTTCAGTTTGGTCAGTTTTCCTCTATTGGCAGATTTTAGTCACATTGGCTTGCAGGATCTTTTGACCATCAGCTGTGACCCACAGATATTGCTACAGGGAAAGGCACATCTCTGTGCCTCCTGCCACTGCTGTTTCTTACTGGCTGTTGTATGGTGGCATTTCTTACTGATGAAGTCTCTGCTATGAATTACAAGGTAGTTGATGGTTTATTCAAATCTGGCATCAAGTGAAACCATGGGCCTCCTTCCTTCCATTTTTATCTTACCATTTTCTGATAATTACTTGCAATACTAAGAGTAAATCACTTGATTTCTTTGAAAATATAAAGAGTTGAAGTCTTGGGTGGCTGCCTGTAAATAATTTTCTATGTTGAGCCAGATGAAGAACCATGGATGCAAAGGAGATTTCCATGGCTTTGGAAGAAACTTTTCTCCTAGCCAGCATCCGTCAAGCTCTACCTTCAGCACACCCTTCCAGGATGCCAGTGATTTCAGTAGCCCAAGGGTAGGATGACACCAACAGGGTGTTTGTTTGCCAATACAACTCATGGCTTTGGGATGACCCTTTAATTGAGCTGAAAGGGAATATTTTTTTACTCTGTGTTTCAGCTATATCCTTAGTACACAAAGGCCCTATCTTGCAGTTGAAAATATGGCAGCCAATCCCACTGGTCTTTGGTGGTGCTCAGGTAAAAGTGAAAAAATCCCACTGATATAAAGGAGAGTTTTGCCCTAGTCAAATTCCAGGGCCCAACCCAGTGACATGTGGACTACAAAGCAGAGAGAGGGATTAGCGTTCAATAACAGCATAGCAGATGCTTGAACTTTCCATCAAAGAAAGGGGATCAGGTCGAGGCCACCCTCAATATTTTCCTGTCTTTCTTACGAAAGAACAGTTTGGGTGTTAGTACGCCTGAGTTTGAAAAACACATCGATGCAATATATTTTTCAGTGAGTCTTTTAAATAGTATCTGTAGTAAAAACAAGACGGGCACTTTGTTGCACCTTTATTTTAATCAGATGTTCATTTTTAAAAGTTACCAGAATACAAGCTTGATGAAGCTAACCTTACTGAGCTGGCCAAAGAGGGAAGGATGAGAGCCAGTTATTTTTCCTCAGATGCACAGTAGGAAATGTGTAACTGATAAATTTCAATTCAGATGTTTATATCTTTAAATATTTACAGTGTAAAACTAGACTAGAGCCCAAGAACATATTCTTTCTCAAACTGAAATAAGATGCCTTTTATCGAGGGAACAGCAAGAAAAATACCTAAATAAATCTCAAAACACAAGATAAGGCACCATTTCTACAACAGCAGAAATCTTACTCTGATTGCTCAGATCACAATGTGTAAGTGTTGAATTTTTTGCCTTGTTCTGTTCCAGAGACTGAAGGCAGCACTGACTCATCATCCTGCCGCCATGTCGAACGGGAATATGAACACCATGGGCCACATGATGGAAATGATGAGCTCGCGGCAGGACCAGACACCACACCACCATATGCACTCACATCCTCATCAGCACCAGACACTGCCACCTCATCACTCATACCCACATCAGCACCAGCATCCGGCGCACCATCCTCATCCTCAGCCTCATCACCAGCAGAACCATCCCCACCACCACTCTCACTCGCACCTTCACGCACACCCAGCACATCACCAGACCTCACCGCACCCCCCGCTGCACTCAGGCGGACAAGCACAGGTAGACACCTTCATGTCATGCTGCATTGCTGAGTTTTGCTGTTGTGTGGAGTTAAAGCCTGATCGCTGTACTGTTTCTTCTTGCATGCATGTCTTGTTAGACACAAGTCCCTCAGGCTGTTCGTAAATGTCTGCTAACGGTGATGGGGAAGCTCAAACTTTATTCAGAAAATGGAGTGAAGCAACAACTTGTTTTGCTGGTTAATTTATTAGACATTTGTAATATCTTACTTTATAAGGAGCTCCAAAGGCTTTTCGGTGCTCTGAGCTCTGCAGATTGCCACATATCCTTTTATGGATGAGGTCTATTACAGAAATTGGCAAATTATATATGTTGCTTAATGTGCTTGAACCTGAACTTCGTAGGCCAAGATTTAAAAATCTGTATGAGTTCTACCTGCAGAAATATGTAATGAAGTCTTTAGTGAAATGAAATGGCACTGGTGTGTTTGGGGGAGGGTGGGGGTGTTGAAGACTGGAGATAGTTGAGGGAGTTCTAAGGTAAGATACACTGGCTTAGAGGAAAAGATTAAAGGATCCAGGTCCTGTGAAGGGGAGAGACATCTGCCAAGATTAGCTGAGGGTATGGGCAGTAGTTGGTGCCTGCTGTGACAGGAGAAAAAAGCTAGTGAAGCCAGTCCCAGGAGAGAGATTTAAGTAAGAGAACCTAGACTTGTATTCAGATGACAAGTCAGTGAAGGTCTCCACTGAATAAGACGGAGGACTCAATTTTTGGACCAGGTATATTTGCTTCAGCAATTTGTATAATTCGATATCTGAACTGAATGTTTTTTGAACTAATGAACTAGCGAGCATGAACTTTAGCAGAGTAATTTTTAAGAGGAATTCTATTAATTTCTTAAGATGGTAGGCTTCTGCATCAGGATTTCACAAGAAAAATAAAGCTCTAGGGGCAGTGACTGTAATATGTCAGGTCTGGGGAGCAAAGTTAAGGAAGAAAAATGGGCAGTGCATAGAATGTGAGGACAAAGAGGAGTGCCAGCCATAAGAAGTTCAATCTGTGAAGTATTGTGTTGCTTGCAAGTACCTTTCAGACAAGCTCTTTGAAAACATTAAAGAAAATGAGAAGAGTTGGCTGACATCCCAGTGTCCCACAACATTAACTATTTACTGACATCTAGCTTTATTACTGCAGAGTCTGCAAGCACGTGGGATTTCCCTAAAGCATTTGCTAATGTAAAATGAATTGTCAGCTTTAGAGAAACAGTCTAAGATAGCAGCAGACTCCCCTGTGAGAAGATATCCAGAGCTTTCCTAAGTTTAGTTCAGTTTTTACTTTGTGAATTCAATTATTTTCCCATCTGTTAATGAATTATTTTCCTAGGAGTTGTTTAAAAACTCCAATAAAAAGACATTATCTCATAACAGAGAAACCAAAAGTAACCTGATTGCTGTCTTGGAGATCCCTGAGAGAACAAGGATAAAGTTGTTCTTAGCAGACTGAAGACTCCATGGAGGAGATGGGGGAAATAACCTTTCTGAAGCTTTTGAAACAAGGGTAATAGTACTGACACTTCATTGAGTTGAGAGAATAAACATGTTAATACAGCTGAGGGCATCAGACCCTACAGTATGGAGCACTGTTGCAAAACATCCACAGCACCACTTTTAAAAGGGGAGGAGAAAACAGCTACCAGAGAAAAAAAATGTCACAGTTTTAAGGATAAGATCAGTGAGCCAGTGGTCCTCATCTGGACCCACTTGAGCAGGTCCATGACTTTTTTACGCAGTTAGGACAGCCTTGATTTCTTGTGCTTTGTATTCCCTGCTAGCTAGGCACTACAAAAGACTTGCAGGCAGGCAAGAAGAGATACAGGCACCAGGGTAGGTGGACTGACTGGCAGGCACAAAGTCTCATCCTGTGTCCCAGCACTACACAGTCCCTGGCGCTGGGTCTGTGCAGTTAGATAAACTTTGCCATGCACAGCATGTTACTGGAGGCAACAGACCCCAAGAGGGATCAAGGAGGTCTTCACCTTGTCCATGGGTGGTAAGTGTCACCAAAGGGATGGAAATGGAGGGTGATGGAGTAGGAATCCTAGGGTCAGAGGCTTCCCTGGGCAGCAGAGCTCTTGCTGTGCATCTGTTCGCATAGTGGGAAGGCAATAGTGATTTCTGAACAGATGCATTAGAGGGGAGAAAAGAAGGGCTTGCTGAGTAATAACCACATGGTTATTACTTTCAAAGCTCATCCATAGTCCCCATGGTAATGGCTTCTTTGGGGATCTGATTGCTCCAGCAGACGTTAATTTTATGGTGCGATTTACTAATTATTAATCTCCTTATTCTTCTGAGACAGATTCTTCCATTCCAAACCACCTGCCAAATGACAGCATGGTCCATGCTGCTGTAAACCATGTACTCCCATGCCTGGACTGTTGTTATTCTATACTGCACCCTTCTGTAATGTCAGAATTCATTTCATGCTTTTCGGCTACCATTTTGATACACAGGAGCCCAATGAACTATGCTTTCATAGAATGAGTGAATGGGTATTAGTTTTGTGCTAAGTTGCAAAGAAAAGAAAGAAATACAGTCTCAAGCATAAAAGTAGAAATCACCTTCTGACAGGTATCTTTCTGAGAAAGTGAGATATTTTATCAAGTTATAGCTATGTTGCCTCAACTACTACAAAACTTATACTATTTTTCTTGTGTTGATCCTGTAAAGATTTCTTCATATTAAACTTGCCAGAGTAATAGCTTAAGCAGAGTAGGGGTTTAGATGCCATTTCATTCTCTTAGCTGTCCTACCTTTGTCTTCATTATGGATGTGTGATTTGCACTCTCTAAAAAACCAAAATCAACCTAAATTTTGATATTTAGTTAATGTTCTTTCTTATGTTCCTAGGCAGGGTAGTGAAATCCTCCTAGAGAATGATGCTTAGACAGTTACTAAGACATAGCCTAACAGATTTCAGGGTTAAGAGCTATCAAGTAAGAGTCAGTTAATTATCCCATGAGACATTATTGGTGGAGTAATGGCAACCTTTATAATTAATATCTGCCAGAGATGGAGAGGAGATTCTGTTGTTCTGAAAATGCGCTGTGACTACCCAGAGACTGCCTGGTGCATTCTGAAAACATAATGACTCACTAGTTATTCAGGAGAAAATGACCATATGAAGAGTATAAAGAAAAATAAAGAATTGTATAGTTACTTTTTTCTGCCTTTGTACCAAACAGAGTTAAGAAATAAGAATTTTTAAAGCTGAATGAAAGAGGAGAAAAAAAGGATAAGGAAAGATAAATTACAGATCTCTGAAGTCTAGAAAGGTGTTGTGTGTGAGAAAATGAAAGGCCTTTGATGAGATGTTGACATTAAAAGGCATTTCTGAGACCTCTGCGCTCAGACATACTGCTAAAGAGGTGGCATGCCTGGCCCTGGTGGACAGGGAGCAGCTGGAATCCCTTGGAAACGATCTCCCAGTGGAAGCCTGTGGATGCTGGTGGGAACGGGGGCTGTAACCAATGCTCCTGTGCAGTGCTGGCCAGCAGTCCTGTGCGGTACTGGTAGCTGTGCCTACTGCAGCTACCATAAACCTGGGACTCCAACCTCCAATGTGGACAGTGTTGGAGATTTTACCAGCTAACATACGGAGTTGATGCAAGCTGAAATTGTAAAAGTCAGTCAGAAAATGCAAGGTGGTTTATTTAGTTTTAGAAGTCATTTTTTAAAAGCTTTTTTTCTGCTCCTGTGAGAGAGATTCCCTTACTGTGCAACACAGAGCTGGGAATAAATTCAGCTTTATGCAAAACGCATTATCAGATGCACAGAATAATTACACATAAAATTGCCACTGTAATTGCCACAAGTCAGCTGAGGGAGGGAGCAAACTAGATTCTAGACAGAAAAGCGACCTCAACTTCTCAAGACTCAAGACGATAGTATCATTTTAATTGAGACAGACAGAGGTGTTAGGAAAACACATGTTAATTGCTGCAATTGAAATTCAGGGCTCAGTCTGACAAAGCACTGAGTACATCCACTCCCCGGAGTCAAAAGGAAGCACCTTGGAGGTTTGGGTCCCTGCCAGAACAAGAGGGTTAATTTTGAGTCAACAATTCAAGTTTCCAGACTGTTCCAGACTGTGCAGGAGTGGCAGCAGCAATGTGAGCAGTAGCAGGGGCGTAAGCAATGGGTGTAAGCAATGGGACCCATGGGTCAGGTTCCCAAACTCCAAGCAGAGGGAGAGAGAGGGTCTCTCCAGAGCCCTGTAGCCCGGGCACCACAGAGAGGCAGGGAAGTAGTCCAAAAGCTAGCTGTTCCCAGGCAGCTGAACATTAAATCTGATGCTGATTCCTGACAGGGACAGGGAGCACAGTCTACATGGGGCTGCCCCTACCATGCATCTTTTCTGTAATATCATGGGCCAGTTACTCTCAGGAGCAGGATCAATACTCTCCTGCACTTGAAAAGGCATAAATACATATTTTTTCATAGTTTTGTAGCAGTGGGCTGGATGCAGTATGTGTCTACTGTCAAAGCCAGGCTATTGAATAAAAATGAGTATAGCGTCCACAGGGGTCTAATGGAAATGTCTAATAAGAGGAATATCCCTTCTCCACATACTTCAGGGATATCAAAACATAGGTTCAAGTTCAGGTACCTAAATCCTTTCTTTGTCCCTAGCTGAGGGGCAGTGAGGTCTGCTGGCCTTTGGAGATCCCAGCCCACAGCTTCCCAACTCCACTCAGGTGCAAAGAGCTCTGCAGCTTCTGTCTCCAGAGGTGGTAAAGCGTGAGGCAGAGATGGTAAAGCCTGGGAAATAGAAATGGTCCAAAAGTTTGGAGGCAGCTGGGGGAAGAAAAGAGAGAGACAGAAATAAGGCCACTACAGTGTTCTGCTTTGATTAAAATAGGTCCTGAGAGAAACTTGGCATTTCAGGTTTGAAATAGGTGATGACAGAGAATGCACCTAAGTGAATATTTTTAATAACTAACTGTAAGGGGAAAAAAATGTTCCCTACTAATATTCGGAGGATTGTTTCAAAAAAATCTGCCCTTTGACCACAGTAAGGATTTGCCAGCAGCTAATTTCAGTGGCATCTGGTACAGCTTTCAACTCTTGTCTGTTGCAGACCTTGTTGGGGAGCAGGCTGTGTGAGATTTCCCTTCCCATTTCAGGATCCCCCTCTGTAACTTCCCCCCATTGCCACCCCCTGAAAAAACCTCTTCTTCCCCTCCAGGTTTCGCCAGCAGCACAGCAGATGCAGCCCACACAGACGATACAGCCGCCACAGCCAGCTGGAGGTCGCCGGAGGAGAGTAGTGGATGAAGACCCGGATGAGAGGAGGCGGAAATTTCTGGAAAGGAACCGAGCCGCTGCCACGCGCTGCAGACAGAAGAGGAAGGTCTGGGTGATGTCACTGGAAAAGAAAGCAGAAGAGCTCACCCAGACAAACATGCAGCTTCAGGTGCGAGCCACTGTCTGCACCCCTGAGGACACAGAGGGGCTCTTTGTGCTCAGAAGGGCTGGCAGTGCCTTTGGGGCTGCCCCCGCACAGTCAGCTCCTAGCGGGAGCTCAGGCATAATCAGTTGGTTAATCAAGATGTGTGTGCTTCAATTAAAGAAATAATTACATTTTAGCAGGATAAGCCAGGAAAAAGCTGTCTTGGGATTTAGAAACCTTCACTAGATGAAGTTGTATTTATTTTCTTTTCTTGTCACCGCTTTTTGTGGGGATTTATTTTTTTTTGAAGTGCCATTAACTCAACTGTAAAAGATTTCTTCAGAGCAGGACATGTAGCTAAACCCTCATTCAAAGCCAGCAAGATAGAAGCATAAATAGATCAGTCTACTAGTAAGAAAAATGAACTGGATGGATGAAAATACTCTGAATATGATAATAAAAGCCTTTCTTACAGTGCTGCCCTTCTTATGGTGGGCACAGTACTTTTGCCTCATGCAAAGGTGTGCCTGTGTGCTGCCAAGGGCAGAAAAACTATTTGTATAATGGCATTCCTCAAAAAAATTCTCCCACAAAACACAGGGGTGTGAGCAGCACCCAGGCACCGAATGCAGTGGAGCAGTCCTGCCACCATGCCCCTGAGCATGGCAATGTGCCCTTTGCCCCACAGGTCTGCCCCCCCTGGCCTGGTGCAGAGAGCCAGAGTATTTCCCAAGGGGATTATAATATTGCCTTGAGTATCTCTGGTGCTGTGAAGTTAGTTCATTTATCAGTTTATGTCACCAAATCTGGAAACCAGACTGCCTTCAGAAGTTATAAAGTAATGTCACCAGCTAATATTAACTTAAACCCAGCACATAAGCACTGAGTGCCTTTTTTGCTCAGTTCTTCCAAAGTTGTGGAGCAGTTTTTGTGTTCTTGGGTTAAAGCTTTGCAGAAGAGCCAGGTTTAAGCTTAGTTGCAAACCAAACTCTCTCTTTTTTTTCTAGAACGAGGTTTCCATGCTGAAAAATGAGGTAGCACAGCTGAAACAGTTATTGTTAACACATAAAGACTGTCCGATAACAGCTATGCAGAAAGAATCACAAGGATATTTAAGTAAGTAGCTGATATGTTTGCGCTGTCTCCACACTCCTCACAGGAAAGCAAAGCTTCCAATTCTTCCCTCCAGAACCCCTTGTTGGCCATATTATCACTTGAACCTGTCTTCTCAAACATCATCCGAGCCATCCAATCTCCTGCCCTTATTTATCCAGCCCTACTCAAAAACAAAAAAGCCCCGGTTTTCATCCCACACAGCAGAGCTAGTCTTCCCCACCCCTCCCTCCGGCAAGGAGATGCACATGGATGGACGCTCACTCCCCTGTGGAGGATCCCGCTTGAACTCACAGCTCCAAACCTGCAAGAGTCCTCCTGGGCGCAGCGCTACCAGAACCTTAAAATAACTCTCAAAAGGAAAGTTAAAAAGGAAAACATTACAGTCCCCTCCAGTGAAAATGGTACTGTGCTCTGACAGTGGCACAGACCAGGCCTGGCGCAGGTTTTCAAGGTTTGTTAACTCTTTTTTAACTCTTATCTTTCTTTTTTTTTTTCCCCTAAAGAATTCTCAGTTAATGGAGACACTGAATCAGTTCTGTCTAGTTGATGCATTTTATGAGTGTGGCAATTTAAGGACAAATTCTTTGGCTCTAGAACAGTTCAGAAGAGCCTCAGGGTTAATACTTGCTAGATTGCGACATTCTCTTAAAATAGAGTCCATTTCTGTCTCCTTTGCATCCCTATGCATCTATCTCTTTAACAGTACTCAAAGAAAAAAATACATAATTTCATTACATGCCTATCAACTGTTGTTCAAATTAGATTTTCTGTGCTGCAGTGCACTGCACTCTAATTTTGGTTCCTGCTAGAGCAAATAAAGCATTTAAGCATCCCAACTGATTTTAAAGGCCTTAAGATAACGGAGTTTTTAACCCAACGTTAGTTTTCATAGTCATTAAGGTTTTGGACTTCTTTCAAGTTCTCAGTCCCTGAAGTCAGGTTGATATCAGAGGAGCTGGCTTGAAAAAAATAACAAAAACTAAAAAGATCAGAAGACAGAGAGTGTTGGATAACTGTGTATTTTGAAATCTTGGGACTTGTGCATGTCTCAGGTCTTTAGTATTTCCAGGAGTGTCACCCAGCCTGGGCTTTTTACTCAGATGGAAAAATGAATGTGTGTTGTCTCTGTGCCCTCACCCCCTTCCCAGGTCCTGAGAGCAGCCCTCCTGCGAGCCCGGTCCCAGCTTGCTCCCAGCAGCAAGTCATCCAGCACAACACCATAACGACCTCCTCCTCTGTCAGCGACGTCGTGGGAAGCTCCACTCTCACCCAGCTCGCCAGCCACAGAACAGACATGAACCCCATCCTTTAAAAGTGGTTGATCAGAAACTGCTAGGGGAGTGTGGTAGCGTATCAAAGCGTCCTCTCTGCTAAGGACATTTGCAACTGTAACTCAAGCCTGGAAGATTCCTCAGTTCTTGAAAGACTCTGGCTATTCATTTTTATAGTTATTAAAATGTCTTTTATACTTAGTTACAGAAAAGGGAGTTATGCAATTAATATGCTATCAGCTTGAGAAATGCTTTGGTGCTTTCTCCATTTTTTGGGTACCATTTACTTGTTTATAAACCTAACTGTTTCTGTACATAGTCATGTTTTCTTCTCACAGATCTATCCTGAAGCCTCAGAAATAAGAAGCTGTGTTAAACCACAGCTTGTTAGTCAATGTGAGGCATGAAAAGTATTAAACAGAGTCATACATAGGTAACTAGGAGTAATTAGGCTATAAATACAGAGAGAGGGCATCTGCTGACAGCATAATAAAAAAGAGTTAGCCTTGTGCTATCAGCAGACCACGTCTTGCATTCAGAACCTCTTTTAAAGTGGTTATATAGGATGTGGCTATCAGGACAAAATCAAGCCCAAATAACGTGCTCTTTTGTCTAGCCCTCCCCCTTTTCTCTCCCCAACCCTGGCCTTTTTCTCCTGCAGCTGTTGTCACACCTTCCTCTTCCCTTCCCAAACTCCTTTAATTCCCCAGCTTCTTTTTTTCCTGCTTTTTTTTTTCATTCCAAGGCTTTCTTGCTTCCCTCTTTTCCTCAAAGAATCATAATGAACAAACAAAAACTTCAAACCCACCTAAAAACTGTTGGCACGGCTGCTGCTTTCACTAGCTCTTCACCCGCAGTTGTGCTGTGCTGAGCATTTGGCTTTTAAAAAACAGAAGTGCTCCTGATTTAGTGTTTTAATAAACAGAGAAAGGGAAAAGCAGTGCAGCCACAGGTGAAGCAGGATGGAATGCCAGCTGTGTTGATGCTAGCAGCCCTGTAAGCTTCTGTGGTACAGTACAGCATAGTGAGCAACACCTGAGAATCACAGCAATTCTTTTGCACTGCCAGTCATTAATGTAGAAAAATTCATGTCGTATATAATAATTTGGAAAAGTTCTGTTCCCTACCCTGGTTGAATTGTTCTAGCAACGAAAGTTAACAGCCTCAGGCTTCATGGGCTATAAATGAGAAATAAATCAGCATAATGGTTTTGACCAGTTGGAAAATGCCATTTTTAATTCCCAGGCAAAGAACCTACTCTCTGCAGGCATTCCTTTAAACGTTCACCGAGCTGGCAGACAGCACTGTAGCTTCACTGACTTTAATGGCACTTAAAGCCTGTTTGCTGTGGGTAAGGAATTGTTCTTTAGGATGCTAAATAATTTTTAGAAGGCATGCAGTGGCTAAAAAGTGCTGCAAGAATGCCAAGTCCCACTGCACTTGGGATAAAATACAGTCCTGCAAAGAGGGTCTGGAAAAGAGCCTTATGCCACAATTAGGTTTTTTGTTTGGACTCTGAGCCTGCCCCTCAGCGCAATTGATTTGCATCCCTGAGTGTTCCCAGTGATTGGTGGGAAAATTAGACAGACATGATGCCAGTTAATTATGCTGCCTTGCTGTATATTGGGACCTGATTTTGCTCTCAAATCTGTCAGGAGCAAAATCTCCCACTGTTCACCCAGGGAGCGGGCTCCAAGCTGGTGAAAAATGTTCAAAACATTGCATCTTTAATAACAAAATTCACGTTATTCCCAGCAAATCCTCTAGCCCTGAACACACTTTGTTCTGAAGTGGAGTTCTCTTTCTCAAAGACTGTGTCTTTGGTTTTTAGAGGAGTTGTGGGTTTTAAGAAGGTGGGTCTTCTCCATGAGGGAAGGAGAGTGAAATAACTGAGGTATGAGGAGGCACTGTAAGGAGCAGGGCCTGTCTGGAAGGGAAAGCAAAATTCTGAGCATCATTCATTTCCAAATTAATTCTTATCCTGGTAACTTTTTATCAGTATTCTTTTCTTTAACAGCTCACTTTCTGTTTATGCAAATACATTCAAAAGAAGAAGGTTTTTAATGTACAGTGTAAATCTTGACTTGATTATATAGTCTAAGAACCAAAAAAAATTACGAAAAAATACAAATGTAAAGGATTTTCTATTATATTTTAGACAAACATATACTTTTAAAGTGTTTTAAATACCGAATCTATAATTTTTTTTAATGTCCAGTTGTAATAGCTAAATGGTTTTGCTTCACCGCAGCTCCCAAGGGAATTTTTTTCAAATATGCAGTTGAGCAAAATGTTCCAGCTGAGTATCCACTATGTAAAAACACCAAATAAGCATTTCCCATGCATCTGAATGTCATCATTCACCATCAAAAATGAAATTTGCATTGCAGGGTTAATTTAAAAACTTTCCCTCTATATGGGCAGCACTTAAATACATTAAAAAAATAAACATCAAAATTGTTGGTAATATTAGAATACCCAGTTGAGCTACACTGCACTAGAATTATGGTTTAGCTTCATTTTATTCAGTCTCCTCAATTAAAATATTTAGCTGTTAAACTGAAAGCCTCTACATTAAAAAGAAAAAAAAAAGGAAAAAATACAAAAACCTTGCCTAAGTTTTGTTAAATTCAGCAACTTGACAGTTTGACTGATGTGTATTATATATAGCTCAATTATTTCTTTTTTTAATGCTAACTAGGCAAGCCAACCACACATGTTGGCCTAAATGTGTAATTACAATGAAATGTCTCCTCTCTATACTATTGGCCTTTAGGTATAATCCTTGCTAGTGATGTGGAAATAAGTAAAGGATGAAAAGCTATTTGCTATTGCTTCTTGTAACTCTGTCGCAGGTTCACAGGCCAAGACAACATGCAGCATATTTATATCGGCTGTATCATCGGGAAAAGGACCAACAGTACCAGGCACCTTATATTATCCGTCAGATTTGCTTCCACATTAAAATGCTCTTGTTTTCCAGGGGGATGATCCTGCAGCCTTTCCTCAAGCTGCTGGTCTGGCTGGGCACTGGAGACTGTCTGAGCAAGGGCTGTGGCAGAAGCCCCAGCCTCTCTATCCCCGGGATGTCCCTCTGCCATGTGGTCAAGTGGCAGCAGCCTCTTCCTAAGCGCGTCACTCTAAATGCATTTGCTAGGCTCTTTCCGTCAAGGAGGAATCCTGCTTTTCCACGAGCTACTTCTGGAGACTGCTTCGCTTTCCTCTTGCCCTGCCAATCCAGCTTGTTGCTGGGCTCATTGGGCTCTGTGCCCTATCCCACTGCCAGCAAAGGACAACTAAGACAACTTCCATCATCTGCTCTCCTGGGCACTCACAGGGTGGTGAGCCTTGGCCAGTGCCTTGCTTAGGAGGAGCTATTTCTGTAGACAGCATCTCTCGTCATGTGATACTGGAGGCACGTTGGAAATCTCAGCCACGGACAACTGCAATACTTTGATTGGAAAGAAATGATGCTGTGATCCAGCTCCTTCATCCCCAGTCCCCTTTCCCCAAAACAATTTATGCAAGCCATATTCATAATGCTGCCTGTGGGAGACAAGTAGTTTGTGTGCTATCATGGTGTGTTTTATAAGGACAACGATGATGATGATGATGATGATTTATGGAGAATTTCACACTGTTGGAAGTTAATTCCTGCTATGAAGCTAAATGTCTGCTGCCCATCTTCTGAATAGTGGAAAGTCAATGGTTCAGTGCCTCACTGCGTGTGGATTTAGTGTTAATGACTCAGTCCTGTTAACTAACAAGCCAGCTATAACTGTTGTTAAATGCCCAACTTTTGAGGATTCATATTTTTTTAAGCAACAATATTTAGTGTTGAAAACTAGCCTTTTAGTTTAGGCAAAATGTGCTTTTTAGCAGCTAATACCTTTTTTTAAAAAAAACGTATAGAGTGAATTTATGAAAATTCATGAGGACCAAAGCAATTTTAAAACAGGAATTTATTAATTTAGTATTCGCATAGAATTTTATGAAGTATTTATTAATAAATGTTATTTTAACACATTCCATTTGAACAGTATTCTTGTACAGAAACTGTTGGGGTTTTTTTAAAGTTACAATATTAGTTTTGCAATAAACTACTCTAGGTGTGTGTGCATCTTAATCTTTCAGGGTCTCAAGCAGAAGTCATCCATCTAAGATGGAAATGCTTGCTGAGGTCAGTTGTACAGAAATTCCTAGAATGAAATGTTTTCCTTAAAGCAGCATCTGCTTTTTTTTTCTTATCTTTTTTTTTGGGACAATGAAACAAATTATAAGCCTTCAGTTTTTTGCCTTTTTATTGGAACATGTGCTCTCTCATTCTAGAAAGCATGAGTCAACATATAACTGGAAAGCCTGTCTTTTTTTTTTCTGCCTTTTTTTTTAAGGATGATTTTCTACATCACCACAGAAGATCTAACCCCATCCTTGTTTCTTTTCTAATATTACATAGTAAGTTGCACTATTCTGCCTTAGCATTGCCTCTTCTGTCCTCTTACTAAGCAGTGTTCCTTAGATTTAGACCATTGAAACTCCATTATACATCAGAGAAAATTACTGGAGGGGGAAGAAGAGAAAAAAATTGATCTGTAGACATAAAACCTAAACTGTGCCTATAAAACAAAACCAGTTACAATTAATTAGTATCTTATTTCTACATTTCAATTATTTATATTATTTTAAAATTGCACTTTAGCTCTTGCTCTCTTTCTTGCTCTCCCTTGTTGAATCATTTATGAATACTCTAGTAAAACTTTTGCACCAGGTACATTTATATGCTTTCACTGGTGGCATATCTACAACTTGTCTCTCACACCTGCCCAAATGGAGAAGCTGAGATCAGCCAGTCTGCAGTGTGACTTAGACTTTACACCCTCTTCATGACAGCATATAAATGTTTTTTTATGCAAAGTGTGCGATGTGAGGCAGCATCTTAGCTACATTTATAATCTCTCATCCTAAGAACCAAAGTGTCCTGTATATTGTAAGGTCAGGAGACTGGCTCTGTTGTGCATTCTCATGCACTTTGACTGTTGTCCAACTCACAGTAGCTGCAAAGCTGCAGTGATAACAGTGGCCATACTATGTATTAGAGTTCTGAATCAATAAAATATATTGCCTTATAACTTCACTAGGGACAGCACCTTTAAAAAAAAAAAAAGAGACAAAAAACTTCTAAGGACAAACAAAAGCAATAAGATCTCAAGTG